GTAACTCAGCCATGACCAACATGGGGATGTCATCCGATCCCTCACCTGGAAGTATTCTGCTATAGGGTCCCTCGGTCCAACCAGGCAACCAGCCTTGGCAGGTGACCGTGACCTCTTGGAACATTCTTTGCTCCAAGCTGTGCAACAAAGATGTTTTCCGGCATACCAATCCTAAGGACCGGACGAGTTTCGCCGTTTCACGTGCCGGCGGGTGGTGGGTTGGCCTCTGGTATATGGTAAACTCCACTTTAATAGGTAATCAACATTAATCAACTATAAAACGGGCTAGCGCCCGGGTGCCGCCGACCCCTCCTTCTTTGGGAAACAAGACATGGACAACGCCGAAACAGAGGACGCAGAGCGAAGAGCAAAGAAACGCAAAGATGGAACACACGAGGCCCGGGAAGGGCAGCCAGACTTGCAGGCGAAAGAGAAGGAAGACCCCAAGCCCAGCGACAAGACAACGGTGCCAGCAAAGGAAGGAAAAGCAACGCAGAAAAGAAAGTTGTGCGAATACAAGTGTCCGCACTGTAGGGAATCCATGACGAGCACGGTGCGTACAGGTCAAGTAGATCATCGCCGCAGATGCGGGAACCGATTTCGCGTGAAGGACGCACGCGTAGTGGACAAAGCTTGAGGATTGCCTGCTGTGTACGCCGGGACGTGGGACGTGGACGTTGTGGACGTGGGGGACGTGGAGGACATCGGGGGCGTGGGGGACGTCGGGGACGTAGAGGACGTAGGGGACGTTGGGAAGTGGACGTAGGGGACGTAGGGGACGTAGGGGACGTAGGGGACGTAGGGGACGTAGGGGACGTAGGGGACGCAGGGGACGTAGGGGACGTAGGAGACGTAGGGGACGTAGGGGACGCAAGGGGACGTAGGGGACGTGGGACGTAGGGGAACGTAGGGGACGTGGACGTGGGGAACGGGGACGTCGGGGACGTGGGGGACATGGGGTCCGTGGTCTTGGGTGTCTGTCGGGGGGCAGGGAGTGCGGATGTTGTGGATGTCTATGCCCCAAACCTGAAAACACACAGCAACAAAAATTATAATTATAGTTCCGGAAAAAAAGGAACTATATTTTTGGGAGCGCCCCACATGCAAAAAAAAGAGCTTCACAAATTATAGTTCCGGAAAAAAAGGAACTATATTTTGGAGAGGGCCCACAAACCTGGAAAAGCACAGCTTCAAAAATTATATTTTCGGAAAAACAGGAACTATATTTTTGGGAGCGTCCTAAACGTGCAAAAAAACAGCTTCAAAAACTATAGTTCCAAAAGACAGGAAAAAGATGAGGAAGGCTCCGAAACATGCAAAAGCGCAGCCCCAAAGATTGTAGTTCCAAAAAAAAGAACATTTTTTTGGGGGGGGGCGGGGGGGGGGGCAAACCTGCAAAAAAAAAGATCCCAAAAATCGGGCTATATTTTTTGGAAGGCTCTGAAACTTTTTAAAAGTGCAGCCCCAAAGATTATAGTATAGCTCCGAGAAATCAGTATATTTGTTGGGAACTATATTTGTTTGAAGTTTGAAGACACAAATTATATTTCCAAGAGAACAGAACTATATTTTTTGACAGCACCTAAACTAGGTGATAACATGGCTCACAGGATTATAGTTCCAAAAAAACAATATTTTTGAGGGCCCCATAACAAATCAAAGTTTATAGCCCTTCACTTGTGGGTCCGGGAGAAAGGACATCTGTGTTTGATTTGTGTGGCAGGCCCAAACCCAAGGGAGAATTCAAAATGATGAACTATACTGGCTGCGCAGGCAGTCACATTGGAGTGCCCGAGGGCCTTTTTGAAAGTATTTTTTCTAGTAGCTTGGGGCATTCACTTGGGCCCGGGAGTTGAACGAATATATACTTATATACCTCCTTTTGAATGTGCTGTGTTATGCTCAAGGAAAGCAAGCCCCATCAAACTTCTACCGCCGAAGAAACAGTTTAAAGTCGTTTCCATGGAAGATATTGCATCGAAAACTCATTAATTTCACTAAAAGATGGCTATATGTTTGGGGCCAAGTTTTCTTTGTTCGGGCATGTGTGCCCTTGTGCCCTTGATTTGGAGTTTGGACATGGAACGGGTCCAGCGTAGTTTTCTGGTTACCACTTCCTTGTTTCTTCCCAATTCGAATTTCCAAATCAAATTTGTTGGCATGCGCTCTGAAAGAAATTGATGAAACTAGTTTTGAAGTCTGTTGGTATCACATCCAGAAACTATCTCCTGTCAAACAATTGGCATAAGCGTTACCGAGGAGTGACCAGCTCACACAATAGCTGTTACAATTTGGGTGTGCTCCTGGGTCGCTGCATGTAACGTATTGGCATCAGGAGGCATGGTAAGGTTTATGTCATACTTTTCTCATCATCATCATCATCATCATCATCAACTATCATCCATCATCATCATCATCATCATCATCACCATCATCATCACCGTCATCATCATCATCAACATCATCATCATCATCATCATCACCACCCAAACAAGTTGTAAGGGGACAAGGTTCTTTCTGTCCTGCATTCAGACACAGATACCTCAAAGGAATTGCAACACCAAAAGAATCATGTTTTATACTCATGCCGCAAGTTCTTGAACGCACCGTCACTTTTGGACAGCTGTATGAAATTTGTCCAAATGGAATGTGGGGAGACGCAGATCAAAAATGCGAAAATTGACAAAAACACAACGCCTCACAACATGCACAGCTCGAAAGCCGACTCTGGCCACGCATACATTCCAAATTTTTAAAGCTTTTGAGAAGTCAACTATGCTTTGGTACACGCCACGGCGAGACTACGGTTCGAAAAAGGAAGAAAGTCTATCTGAAGGACGCACAGGAGAAAGGGTCCAGGAAGGGAACAAGATTCTTATTGGGGCCTTCTACAGCGCGCAGACATCATACCAACCGTCCTGTCCGGATCGGTTTGTCCGACCAATTTTGCAAGAGACCACTATTTGCTTATTTTGGGCATAGCTCCACCTACAGTACCCAGGAAATATAAGGCTTTTTAAACATTTTCTCAGTTTTAAAAAACATGAATTTTTGAAATTTAGCAACGGACGGGACGTGAAGGACGTAGAGAACGTAGAGGACGTGGAGGACGTAGAGGACGTGGCTAACCTATATAGAGGATGTGGCGGACCTATATATAGAGGACGTAGAGGACGCGGAGGAGGTATAGAGGATGGAGGAGGAGACGTCAAGGACATAGAGGAGGTCAAGGACGTAGCGGACGTCAAGGACATAGAGGACGGGACGGGAAGGACGTAGAGGACGTAGAGGACGCGGCTTTGACAGCCGGAAGCAGCTTGCCTGATGCTGCAAGGGCTTGGCTGAAACAGCTACCGCTAATGCCGAAGCAGCCTCACTTGAGGTCAAAATTTGAAAACACTTCGCAAGCAGGAGCCGAGCCTGAAGGGCCGAAACAGCCCCTCGCTGCGTGGACATGCTGAGCCGAAGCAGCCGAACAGCCACCGCCCTCCTGAAGCTCCAGAGCCCGCCTTTGTCCTTTCATGCTTTTGGAAGGTTTTTTTTGCATGTGAATGGGCTTTGTATGGCTTTGTGATTTCATTGTTTGCTCAGACGCTTGTCAATCCGCTTTGGCTAGAACCCTGCAGTCAACACCCTATGGCGTGCGCAACCAAGTTTCCAGCTCTGGGTGACGACACAAAATACGGAACTGTGAGCCCCATTTCAAGCCCAAGACATGCCACTTGGATCGAAACCATCTGCCATTGCAAAAGCAGCAATGCTGCTCTTGTCTTTGACAGCTAGTGACCCAAATTGCAAACGAGAAATAAAAATAAACCAGCAATAATTTCAAATACCTATTCAGCTGCCTCGACGAGAAAAATTGAAAGAGCCAATGGAAAGTGAAAAAAAGTGTACGAATATGTCTGAAATTTGCAAAGGAAAGGACCAAGGAAACAAACAACATGTTCCCTACATGTCTTAGATGTCACAAGTTAGGGTTGCAAAGGGTATTCCAAATCAGCCATTGTTGAAGCAAACGAGACTCTCAAATAGCTTAGCCAAACAAACAAATACAAAAAAATATCTCAGGCCCAAAAAAAATAAAAAATACAAAAATACAGCTAAATATAAGCAAGTCATTGCTTTATTTTGCTTTTTAGTTGCAAGAAAGATGTGTTGATTTTGCATGTTTTGGTTTCATTGCAGGGCGATTTCGAAGGGCAATGGTCGTCTTTAAGCTCATCCTCTTGTCCGGAAACACGGCAAAGCATCGTGAGCGCCCCCAAAGGGTCTGAAACCGGTCTGAAACTGCCGTTAACTGCTCACCATCTCAGACTTTATGCCTCTTCGGGTGCAGCGTCATTGCTTTGGAATTGCGGGAGAAATGTGTAGATTGTATGATTTGGTTCCCTTACTGGACCACTTCGAAACACCTTCCCGCTCAACATCTCAGACTCCACATTCTGTTCATGGCGAACTGACTCCAGGTCGATTTTTTTTATGCCTGTATTTTTGTGAAGTCATGCTCACAAAAAAACCCTCCAAAACCTGAAAAGTGACTAAAACGCAAGCCGCGCAAGAGCGCGCAAGGGAGAGGCGCAAGAACTCCTAAATGGAAACAATCTTAAAGGAATAAAAAACACCTTCCCATATATTCTCTTTATATATATATATTATATATAGACAGGAAGCATGCGGACTCACCCACTGTTCTCACTCCAAGCACTGGTGGCGGAGGTATGAGGTTGAAACTTGCCCATCGAAAGTGGGTCCTCGCGTAGGAGACCTTTCACTGCGAGTCACATCTTTCCCATGGTTCTTTCTAATGCCAAACGTGATGGACGGCATTGCATAGATTATGCAATGCCGGCCACCATCTTCCCATCAGTGTCACTTTCCTCGTTCGGGCCAAAGCTGCAGCTAGAGAACTGGCAAAATACACGGGCTGGCTGAAGAATGAGAAACCCTGACAATGAAGCCATTGGAACAAGGTGCAGTCACTCACTGGGCACTGAATCATGGGCCTCCTCAAGTTGCGCAACCCGGTGATGGAGCTGAACAGTTCCTGGCCCTGGGGAGCCTGGATTTGGATATTTTCAATTCGCAGTCAATACTTTGTGACCGACACGGACGACAATGACATGCAACAACAGCATGATGACAATGATGATGATGATGATGAGGATGATGAGGATGAGGAGGATGAGGATGTAGCCAAACGTAGCCTTGCTTTAGTGCACCCAGTTTTTTTGCATCTACATCTATATATATATATATAAACATATATGTTTATTTGCATGTGTATATACATTCACTGACTGGAGCAACATCATTTCCGAGGCCTGTCGAAGGAGTTCCTGGCGAAAGCCTTGAACTCTTTCGACACGCAGGTCGTAGTGGTCTACGACGAGAACCTGCGTTGCCCCCGTGCCGTCGCTGTCAGCGAGGCACTGGGGGGGCTCCTTGGAGCTAGTAGCGGCCGCTGCGGCCCCTAACAGGGGGGACTCGAGCATCTTTTCCCGGTGAAAACGCATTCTTCTTTTTTTTTCTTGGTTCAGGATGCCGCGCGCCACCAGCCAAAGGAGTTGGTGGCTTCCATTGAAAGCCACCCTTTGGAGCGGCCAATTACACTTCGGGCGCTTCGAGGCTCGCGTGCCGGTGGTGACACCCATAGATTGGCGCCAGGGCACAAAGTGCAGTTAAGGCCTTTTACAGTTATAACTGAACTGCTACTTACAGTTATAAGTAACAGTTATAAGCTACTTATAACAGTTATTTTAACAGTTATAAGTCGTGATCTGACCAGTTATAAGTCTTACTTATAACTGGTATAACTGTTTTTGTAATTGTTATAATTGTTTTTTGTCTTATTTTGTAACTGTTATAACTGTTCGGAAATGTGGAAATACTAGGAAGAAACCATGTAGATAACCACTTTCGCGGTATCATTTGAGCTGTGGAAAGGAAACCTCAGCAACCAAATATGAATTATGACAAGTGCAATCATGAAGCTGGAGAATTTGATTCTATATGTTTTCCTGCAGTCTTCCTGCAACTAGCGCATCCACACACATTATGTTGCAATCCATGATAACCACGGCTGTCGCGAACACAATCCATGACATGCACATATCACGAGCTGCAGCACAAGACCCTTCCTCTTAAGTCAGTTCCAGGCAAAGAGATTGTTTTGCCATATGTTGAAATACTTTTAGACCTGAACTAGCTTCAACATGTAGCACGCAGCAGCCAGTCTCATTAAACGCAGGCATTTTTCAACGCAAGCAGAAGTACGAGCCGTCGCTTTCCAAATGAAACCACGTTGCACCAACAGAAGCTGCCAAAGTGGCTGGATACAGCAGAGCTAATCGCGATGACGGCTGTCGCCAAACAAATCTTGTAATGTATCTTGCAATGGCATGGGTGCACATATATTTCATATCGATTTGTATCTGAATAAACAAATGTGTTTTCTTACGTTATAATAATTTATTTGGAACATATGCATTGAAAACAACACAATATTTTGTTAAATGCATACAGAATAATATGAACAATCAATAGATGTAACTATTGATTGTGTTGTTTCCAACCTTTATTTGTAACATGACATGTTTGTATTGAATTTATAAAAATAAGAAATTAATTATTAAAAGCAATTATATAAAAAAAATATATTCATATTCAGTGTAGGTTTATTTTATTTTCCAAATTTATTGCATTTTTCAAGACAATATAAAATACAAAAACATAAACATACAACTTAATAATTTGATTAATATATCAGATTCGAAAAAATTACAAAATAAAAATATTGTTCCATTCAATTTAATTAAATGAATTAAAGAATCATAGTTTCAGAAAATATTTAGTTATAATAATTTGTAAATATTTATATTTATAAAATTGAAAAAAACCGTATTTTGTAGTTGGAATTCAACATATATAGGTTCAGAAATTGTTTTTCTAAATTTATCTATATTTTAGCCTAACTAAACCCAATTAAGTGAAGAAAAACAATTTAAAATTATATTGATACTAATTTGAGTTAAACCTTATTTTTTTGAATTTATTTCTATCTTAATCTGAACTAAACCTAGTGAAATTCAAAAATTTTCTGAATTTATGTCGCCCACAGCCTGAACTAAACCTAGTTAAATTCAGAAATTTTCTGAACTTATCTTTCTTCCAGTCTGAACTAAACCTAGTTAAGTTCAGAAATTTTCTGAACTTAGTATAATTATAATTTAATTTAAAATATGTTAAGTTCAGAAATTTTCTGAATTTATCTTTCTTCCAGTTTGAATTAAACCTAGTTAAGTTCAGAATTTTTCTGAATTTATCTCTCTCCCAGCCTGAACTAAACCTAGTTAAGTTCAGAAATTTTCTGAACTTATATCTCTTCCAGTCTGAACTAAACCTAGTTAAGTTGAGAAATTTTCTGAACTTATCTCTCCCCCAGCCTGAACTAAACCTAGTTAAGTTCAGAATTTTTCTGAACTTATCTCTTTCCCAGCCTGAACTAAACCTAGTTAAGTTCAGAAATTTTCTGAATTTATATCTTTTCCAGCCTGAACTAAACCTAGTTAAATTGAGAAATTTTCTGAACTTAGTTAAGTTCAGAAATTTTCTGAACTTATCTCTCCAGCCTGAACTAAACCTAGTTAAGTTCAGAAATTTTCTGAACTTATCTCTTTTCCAGCCTGAACTAAACCTAGTTAAGTTCAGATAATTTTTCTGAATTTATCTCTCTTTCCAGCCTGAACTAAACCTAGTTAAGTTCAGAATTTTTCTGAACTTATCTCTCTTTCCAGCCTGAACTAAACCTAGTTAAGTTCAGAATTTTTCTGAATTTATCTCTCTCCCAGCCTGAACTAAACCTAGTTAAGTTCAGAAATTTTCTGAACTTATATCTCTTCCAGTCTGAACTAAACCTAGTTAAGTTCAGAAATTTTCTGAACTTATCTCTCTCCCAGCCTGAACTAAACCTAGTTAAGTTCAGAAATTTTCTGAACTTGTCTGTCTTCCAGCCTGAACTAAACCTAGTTAAGTTCAGAAATTTTCTGAACTTATATCTCTTCCGGTCTGAACTAAACCTAGTTAAGTTCAGAAATTTTCTGAACTTATCTCTACCCCAGCCTGAACTAAACCTAGTTAAGTTCAGAATTTTTCTGAACTTGTCTGTCTTCCAGTCTGAACTAAACCTAGTTAAGTTCAGAAATTTTCTGAACTTAGCATATTTAAATTTTAATTTAAAATATGTTAATTTCAGAAATTTTCTGAGCTTATCTCCCTTCCAGCCTGAACTAAACCTAGTTAAGTTCAGAAATTTTCTGAACTTATCTCCCTCCCAGCCTGAACTAAACCTAGTTAAGTTCAGATTTTTTCTGAACTTATATCTCTTCCAGTCTGAACTAAACCTAGTTAAGTTCAGAATTTTTCTGAACTTATCTCTCTCCCAGCTTGAACTAAACCTAGTTAAGTTCAGAAATTTTCTGAACTTGTCTGTCTTCCAGTCTTAACGAAACCTAGTTTAGTTCAAAATGTTTCTGAATTTATATTTCTCCCAATTTGAACTAAACCTAGTTAAGTTCATAAAAACACTGAACATCTTTATCTTTCAGCCTGAACTAAACCTAGCTAATTGTCTTTCAGTATTACCTAAACCTTGCTAATGTCCAAAAATACGTTCAATTATTGTGTTTCTGTTTAATTCAACTATATTTTGTTTTGTTTCATGTAAATAGTTAACCTTCATGAAAGTAAAATGTATTTTTAATTTATTATTTTCCATCCTTTTATATTGATGAAGATGAACATGTATTATTGTTCCATCCTTTTATTTTTCCATCCTGTATAGTAAACAACATGCCATGCCAAGCGCCAGCAAAAACAACAAAAGCCATGAAACACTTCAGGAAACAAAACAAAATCCATGCAGGACAAACAACAGTAAGTCACAATCAACACGACACACTAAGCAATAAACATAACATTAACGTCAAATTGCGATTCATTGTTTGCAAAAACCGCGACAAACTCCTTGCTACCCACATCACAGATCAAGAAAAAACAATCCATCAAAATGCTTCCGACAAACCGTGATACACAATCCATGACTTACATCAAACTATCAAACCACAATCCATGCAACAACACACCCAAAAAATCGTGGTATACCTGGTACACAACCCATGCCAAACATCAAGCAAACCGTTCGCAATCCCTACAACAAACGCAACACCTGAAGTGCCAAACGCAATCCATATGCAAAACAAGAAAGATGCACAATCCATGACATCACTTCACAATCCATGCGACTCAGGGTGACCATGATGAACAATCCACGACACAAATCAATCAAACAACATCACAATCCATGCAGCAACACAGCAAGAAAACATGAAAACCAATCCACGACCTACACCAAGCAACAAATCAGATCAATGCAACAACACGTAACACAGCGACCGAGAAAACATGATACGCAATCCATGACACACACACACACCAAGCGACAAATCACAATCCATGTAACAACCTGGCAGCCAAGAAACCATGATAAACAGTCCATGACGTACACCAAGCAACAAATCACAATCCATGACGCACATCAAGAAACATATCACAATGCATGCAACAACATGGCAGCCAAGAAACCAGGATAAACAATCCATAACATACACCAAGCAAGAAATCAGCCCAAAAATCCACGCTACGCAATCCATGACCCAAACCAAGCGACTGTGGACAATCCATGCAACAACAAAAGCATGGTAGAACAAATCCATGGCGCGCAGCCAACAACATGTCAAAATCCATGAAAACAATCAAAAAACACTGCGTAAGAAAAAACACGCACACGAAACAAGCCACGTCATGTCACCAATGAAGATGTTGTTTGTAACTGTTATAACTGCTTTTTCCTCCTTATCATAACTGTTATTAACTGTTTTTGTAATTGCTATAACTGCTTTAACCGGACTTATAAGTCCAACTACAGCAGTTACAGAACAGTTGCATAACTGCGTTAAGTAGGCTAACTACAGTTATAACTCACTATGCACTTATAACCTACTTATAACCTAACTTATAACTGTAAAAGGCCTTAACTGTGGGAGGGCATGCCCTACCACGTGACCCTTGGCCATCCTGTGTGGTGGATTGATACAGTGCTGCTGGAGGTTTGCTTGTGTTGGCGGCTATTTTGGTTTTGGCTGTCGCTTTTTTTTAGGAAGCTATATCTGGCGCCCGTGCTTGTATGTGCGCATGTGTCTTGTGGTAGAACTTGACTAAGACGGCTTATGTCGCCGAGGGAGGTGATTTGCTGCACTTCCTCGGCCGACTGCAGCAAGAGCTGCATGTCCGGCCGAGGGGGGGATTGTCACATCTCCCTCTGAGCAGCCAAGACTGCGATTTTGTTTTTTGCATCTATATATATATATATGTTTATTTACATGTGTATATACATTCACTGACCGGAGCAACAACATTTCCGAGGCCTGTCGAAGGAGTTCCTGGCGAAAGCCTTGAACTCTTTCGACACGCAGGTCGTAGTGGTCTACGACGAGAACCTGCGTTGCCCCCGTGCCGTCGCTGTCAGCGAGGCACTGGGGGGGCTCCTTGGAGCTAGTAGCGGCCGCTGCGGCCCCTAACAGGGGGGACTCGAGCATCTTTTCCCGGTGAAAACGCATTCTTCTTCTTTTTTTTCTTGGTTCAGGATGCCGCGCGCCACCAGCCAAAGGAGTTGGTGGCTTACATTGAAAGCCACCCTTTGGAGCGGCCAATAAAACTTCGGGCGCTACGAGGGCTCGTGTGCCGGTGGTGACACCCATAGATTGGCGCCAGGGCACAAAGTGGGAGGGCATGCCCTACCACGTGACCCTTGGCCATCCTGTGTGGTGGATTGATACAGTGCTGCTGGAGGTTTGCTTGTGTTGGCGGCTATTTTGGTTTTGGCTGTCGCTTTTGTTTTAGGAAGCTATATCTGGCGCCCGTGCTTGTATGTGCGCATGTGTCTTGTGGTAGAACTTGACTAAGACGGCTTATGTCGCCGAGGGAGGTGATTTGCTGCACTTCCTCGGCCGACTGCAGCAAGAGCTGCATGTCCGGCCGAGGGGGGGATTGTCACATCTCCTCTGAGCAGCCAAGACTGCGATTTTGTTTTTTGAATGTCGCCGCCCAACTTTGATGCGTTGCTGTTGTTGGGTGAGTTTCCAATTCGGTTTTACTTGTGATATATATATATATATATATTATTGTCTTCTGACATCAAACTATGTATCCTTTATATGTGAGAATTACTCTTGAACCTCTGTTTGCCAAGGTCGTGCAAATTCACGTACTATTTTTTTTAGATGCTTGACAAATCTTAAGGAAAACGCAGGAACATGTTTTTTGGGAAATGATGCAGCTTATACCAAGTTTTGAAAAGCACGTGCAGTTTTACCAAAGGATTCTCAAGTTTATTTCCTGAAGTATCTCCAGTTCAATTTTTTGTTTGGGCAAAAGGTCTTGCATTTTTAGATTCTTATTTTTGTCAAACCTTGCAGCCTTGGATGGTGTTTTTTTTGACACTCCCTTTGCAAGCAAGCAACGCCATTATTATTTATCCGTTACTATTCATTCTGGGTCATTTTGGATTTTCATGTTCATTTTAGCTGTCTTATAAGGTAATTTATTGTTTCCACATCCCCGAAAATGTATATTGTTGTGTTTTAAACGGTGAGGAAAAGAATATGCAATTCATTTATATATATATATATATACATATACATAGCTACACATGTTATATATATACATAAATGGTATATATATATATAAATATACATATTTATATATATTTATAATTATATATCAAAAAAACACATATTATATTTATACATATCATTATTTTCATATAAAATACTTTTATTTTACATATATTCAACAAAAATAACATGTAATTTATATAGATAACTATATATATAAAGCTTTTTATTTATATAGACACATACATATGTGCATTTATACATATCGTATATGTTCGTATATGTTTAAATATAAATACTAATACCTACACAATTGTATATAGTTTGTATTCATGTTTTTTTAACATATATATGTTTATTTGCAGATAGGATATATATATATATACCCATGGTGGTCCTACATTTCCCGCTGTATCCTCCGTAAACCCTGTAATATTCCTATAATGTTCTGAGTAACGTATAACAACCTCACTGCAACATCTCTGGAATGATGGCTAGGATTCGGGCAACTATCACAAAACAGCAAAACCATTCTTGTGTGTCGGATACGCCTATACCTATACTATTCCATTGTCCGATATCACACAGTGCTAGTTATATGCCATTATATTTCAATGTATTTGCCATATATTCCAGTCTTCCAAATATGATTTACACATGCTAATTGTTTGACATTGAGAAATGGATTGCGTTTTATAGTCACGTTCTATTCCCCTTGGATCCAATCATATTCCTATGATACGGCCAGTATATCCTCAAATATCTTCT